CTAACAGCAACAGAACATTGCTACATTACTTGCAGATGGGGGTTTAGCTGTGCTAAAGAGTCAGTAGGAAAATCGGCTAAGCTAGCTGACCTTTTGTCAGCTACATGTTTATTTTGGAGTGTTAAACATGCTGTTGGACCCATTCACCCATTTCAATAGCTAGCTTGTAGTGTAGACCTTTATTCTGAAGAAGAATACCACAATCAAAGCTCTGAGATATATGATACCGTACAGCTTAAATTTCCTATAGCTATCTCACAATAAAACCCACTTGCTGGTCAGCTAGACGAAAGGTTAAATGTTACAAAGTACATGCGTCAGTTATGTACATCGTCAAATTAATTTCATGCTTCAGAGTCACACGCCGGTCTGTCAAAAAAAATACCTGCCAGATAGCAGAGCATGACAGACCCGGTGGGCACACATGCTGAGTAGAGCGGCCGTGGATTGACTCTGGCAGCCATGATGGAACCGGGACACAACACAGTCACTTGCTGTGGATGTTGCCTGCTACACACCGCATAGTTCAAACACACACACACAGCCTTCAAATGTTGCTGACACTCTGCTCAGGAGATGTTGCAGCAGCAGTTGTTTAGTTGTTTGGCATGGTATGTTTGTTGTATGTGTATTTGAACAGCCACCTTGTAGTGTATACCTTTTTTACTTTAGAAAAATAGACAGCTAACTTGTGTGTTACATAGGACATTTAAAGATAAAATAAATAAATAAATAAATAAATGTCATTTAACAAATATTTTTCATATAATTATGGCTCAGTAAATGAATACACAACTGGGAAATACATATAATGATATAGATTATAGATAGATAGATGTATTTTACTTTATTTGTCTGATTTATTTTGTTTTAGGTATTTTAAGCCTTCTACACACTGCAAAGAGTGGAATGTATACACAGGTAGGGTTATAAACTTCACACCCAATAAACTGAAACAAACCAAGCTGTTAATGATAAAGAAAACACAACACTCTCATAAATCTGTTCCACATATATTATATATATTCTATGTTATTTTCCTTAAAGAGGTTTCATTGAAATTAGTGACCTTTGACTTGCAATGCTTTGCAAATTGGTCTCTCCTGGAAAGCAAACTGTACGTGCAGCATGAGGCAGAACCTTATCTGTAGTGAAAGCCCCTGTAAACCACAGCAGTCCATCACACCAGAGAGAGAGAGAGATGGAGGGAGGGTGGAATAAAGGAGGAGAGAGAAGAAGAAAGATTATTTTAAAAGGAAAGACTGTGCCAGAGAAAATGGAGGGGGACAAAAAAGTAGAAGATGAAAGCTACAGACATTAGGAAAAGAGTGAGAAGGTGGCAGACAACATAGCTTTACTATGACTAATATATATGTAACTGTGACTTTTCTGCAAAGTGCAACACCCCCTCCTGCTCTACCCACCCTCATCCACCCATCCATCTATTCCATCTTTCCCTGATTGACGCTTTTCTGTCTAAGCTTTGACATTCAAGCTCTTCATTCTCCCCCCTCCCTGTCATCCATCCATAACTCCATCCCATCCATTCCTTCCTCTGTCTTTTCCTCCTTTCCCCTTGCACAACATTCCCCTCATGTCCTGTGAGAAATCATCACCAAACACTGAGTGCAATGTGGGGAAAGGTGAGGCAAAGTCCATCTGTCCCTTCGTCTAATCATCCAGCCATCCCTCTATTCCCATGACAAAACACTGTTTGCTAGTAATATGCCAAGTTTGGTACCATATGTATGTCTTCCTCTATCTAATCCTGACTGTGAGTATCAAAGGGGGAAAGGCCAGGGTGATGTGCTTTTGTTAGAAACAGAGAGTAAAAGAGAAGAGGGTAATGATGTCTCCAAAAATGTCTGAAACCACAGATTAAAACATGGAGGGATGTAGGGAAAGAAGTAGAAGATGGGGACGAGGTTTAGGATCCAGGACATGATGGACAACCTGAAAGAAGAGTGGAGGGGTATTACATCTTGTTCACACTTGCTGCAGTGTGTTCGACTGTTTCAATCATAGTGCAACAGTGCCACCAAGTGTCTCAAAGTGGTTTAGCATGATTCTTTTTTTTTTTTTTTCCTGTTAAATGGGAGGTTTCTAGCTAGAGAAGAAGTCAATACTGTTGCCTGAATTTGATATCAAATATCCACCTTAACTTCAACAAATCCAGGAAGTAATGTTTGAATAGTTTCAATGCCTAATGATAGATTACTGAGTCTGATTTAGTTCCTAAATGTTGTATGTAATATGTACCAGGACATTTACATTCCAGCTGTAGACTACTAAATTTGACACACCCTATTTGTCACAAGCTACTTGATTAGATTATTGAAGGTCTTGGTTCAAAACTATTAAGTTAATAAGGTTCAATTATTAATATGATATGAATGAACTAGAAGAACGTGACTTCTGAAATTGAACTGATCTGCTAGAGAGAAAAGATCTCACTATAAAAACACTCAATCCACTGTACAGTTGTACAGTGGTGTTACAGAGTGGAGGTTCCTTGGTTGAGTTGACACCAGAGCACTTTAACCAAACAGACATGTTTCATTTTGAGGTGCAATCAAGTTACTTACTGAATATATGCAACAGCTAATATAATCAGCTGACATACCACAGACAATGTTTGTTCATTATAACTGTCAAAAGCGATGCTCAGCGGCAGCTACAAGTGAAGTTGCTACCTGAATGTTTTGTTCTTTGCTAACGGTAAAGGTGATATAACAGATTCGTTTGAGTCAGAGTTTGGTCAATGTCTTGTATTTCTCTGACTCAGGGCTGGTGAACGAGTCAGTAAACAATAACTTTATAAATAGATAATTTAGGCTGTCATGTTACGTTCTTTGAATAAACTCTGAAAGTAAATAGTCTTAAACGTGCTTGCAGTTGTTATTTTAACATCGTATATCGTACATCCCCAGCGAACTATGTTCACTCACATGGCTCCGTCCACCTTCTTAGTGTTTATATGTTTGTTATTCACATTCTTCCAGTGTCAGCAACATTTCACTGCTGCCTCAGTGGTTAAACAACAAAGAACAAAAAACGGTCTCAAAAGCTCAGAAAAAAGAAGTTCAAATCCTTAAGATAACAGGAGCAGAGCAGCATAGTTGGTTCAGGACCATAGTTCCCAGTGAGCAAGGATGGACTGGGACAGTCGAGGCTCAAAACAAATGGGGACCGTGCTTTTCTCGTTTTAGCTCTAACCTTATGGAATGGCCTCACCCTCACTGTCAGGTTAGCTAAGTCTGTACCACTATTTTTAAAGACCCATTTGAATAGGTTGGCATTTTTTGCCACTGCACTGAGATTCACAGTGCATCCGGAAAGTATTCACACCCCTTCACTTTCCCCACATTTTGTTATGTTAGTCTTATTCCAAAATGGATTAAACCCCCCCCCATCAATCTACACACAATACCCCATAATGACAAAGCGAAAAAAGTTTTAGAAATTTTTGCAAATTTATTGAAAATAAAAAACTGAAATATAGTATGTACATAAGTATTCACACCCTTTACTCAGTACTTTGTTGAGGCACCCTTTGCAGCGATTACAGACTCAAGTCTTCTTGGGTATGAAGCTACAAGCTTGGCACACCTGTATTTGGGGTATTTCTCCCATTCTTCTCTGCAGATCCTCTCAAGCTCTGTCAGGTTAGATGGGGAGTGTCGCTGCACAGCTATTTTCAGGTCTTTCCAGAGATGTTCAATTGGGTTCAAGTCTGGGCTCTGGCTGGGACACTCAAGGACATTCAGACTTATCTTGAAGCCACTCCTTCATTGTCTTGGCTGTGTGCTTAGGGTTGTTGTCCTGTTGGAAGGTAAACCTTCGCCCCAGTCTGAGGTCCTGAGCGTTCTGGAGTAGGTTTTCATCAAGGATCTCTCTGTACTTCGCTCCGCTCATCTTTCCCTCGATCCTGACTAGTCTCCCAGTTCCTGCTGCTGAAAAACATCCCCACAGCATGATGCTACCACCACCATGCTTCACCGTAGGGATGGTATTAGCCAGGTTATGAGAGGTGCCTGGTTTCCTCCAGACGTGACGCTTGACATTCAGGCCAAAGAGTTCAATCTTGGTTTCATCAGACCAGAGAACCTTATGGCAAATTCATAGCGGGCTGTCATGTGCCTTTTACTGAGTAGAGGCTTCAGTCTGGCCACTCTATCATAAAGGCTTGATTGGTGGAGTGCTGCAGAGATGGTTGTCCTTCTGGAAGGTTCTCCCATCTCCACAGAGGAACGCTGGAGCTCTGTTAGAGTGTCCATCGGGTTTTTGGTCACCTCCCTGACCAAGGCCCTTCACCCCCATTTTCTCAGTTTGGCTGGGCGGCCAGCTCTAGGAAGAGTCCTGGTGGTTCCAAACTTCTTCCATTTACAAATGATGGAGACCACTGTGCTCACAGGGACCTTCAATGCTGCAGAAATTTTTTTGTACCCTTCCCCAGATCTGTGCCTCGATACAATCCTGTCTCAGAGGCTTACAGACAATTCCTTTGACTTCATAGCTTGGTTTCTGCTCTGAAATGCACTGTCAACAGTGGGGCCTTATATAGACAGGTGTGTGCCTTTCCAAATCATGTCCAATCAATTGAATTTACTACAGGTGGACTCCAATCAAGTTGTAGAAACATCTCAAGGATGATCAGTGGAAACAGGATGCACCTGAGCTCACTTTTGAGTGTCATAGCAAAGGGAGTGAATACTTATGTACATGCGATATTTCAGTTTTTTATTCTTAATAAATTTACAAGAATTTCTAAAAAACCTTTTTCGCTTTGTCATTATGGGGTATTGTGTGTAGATTGATGAGAAAAAAAGGAATTTAATCCATTTTGGAATAAGGCTGTAACATAACAAAATGTGGGGAAAGTGAAGGGGTGGGAATACTTTCCGGATGCACTGTGAATCTCTGTCCCAGGATTGAACTAACAACCTCAAAACATCTAGAGAGTCATCAACTACAATGAGCCTCTTGACAAAGACATTGTAAACTTAATTTCTTATAACGTTTCAGTCTTTGCTCTGGACATAAACCTGACTATTTGACAGGTTTATCTTTTGTGAAACACTGAGATCCTAGGGACCATTTTCATTGACTGTCTTGTCTTTTCTCAGACCTTTCAAACAAACTGTGGCATTACTTCCTAAGTATTTCATTGTCCTCAGATTCAGAGGAAGACCACACACTGCACTGTGATGCTTTTATTATGAAATGACAAGATAATGAGATTCAACATCTTAAAAAAAAGTAGTCAACAGGAGAGTCAAAACAAAACATTCAGTCAAATCATTTTTATCCTGTAATAATTGTAGCTTCTGTCTTTGAAGGACTGGAAGAGGAATAGATTTACAATGAAGAGGAGTTTAAAAAATAAACTGACTTAATACATTAATCTGAAAATGTGTGTGGGTGAAAGAGACAGACATGTACAGACTGAACTACCTGTTCAACAATGACAAAGTTTCTCTAACAGAAGAAGACTCTATGCTACACTGAACACAGAGACACTGAGGAACCAGACCACCAGAACCTAAACCCAGGATACAGAGGTTCAGTGAATGTGGTGTTGAGGGTGTGGAGGTGGATCAGTGTGTCAGAGGAGACTCTGTAGAAGGACAGAGTGCCAGCAGGAAAGTCCAAATACACTGCTACTCTGTTAGAGATGGAGGGGCAGGAAGAGGAGGAAGGGGAATAGGAGGAGATGGATCTTTGTGTGTTATTGTGCCAGTAAAAGTAACCACCATCAGAGCATCTCAGACTCCATGACTTATCACTCATTCCAAACACACAGTCTTTACTGTTTCCTTTCCTGCTAATTCCTCTGTAGCTCAATGATATATGAACCAATCCTTTCCACTCAACCTCCCAGTAACAGCGGCCAGTCAGACCAGTTCTACACAGCAGCTGAGGCCACCGGTCAAATCTGTCTGGATGATCAGGGTATGACTGCTCCTCCTCCAGCCATGTCACTGACCTGTTGTTGTCAGACAGTTTGAGGTTTGTGTTCACTGTGTTTGTGTCGAGTGTGAGTTCACAGGAATCTGATGGAGAGAACAACACAGCTGAAGTTATTAATCTATCATTGCTTCATTTATTGACAGGTTGATGATGACCCATGATGTCAGTGATCTGAATGAGTGATGTGATAGTTAAAAATGGTTGAATGTGCTGCTTTGTCTTCATGAATCATATTAAAAACACACTTACACTTCCTCAGACCTGGTCTCAACCATCGGATTCCAGCAGGCTCCACCCTGAAAGAAAGGGTACAACCATAAGCTCATTTTGACAAACACACTTAAATCTCAAATCTCAGAATCTCAAAAGTCCTGTGCTGCGGATGTCAGGTTCAAGCACAGTTTTAACTAATTATTATACTAGACAATATAGACAAGACAGACAATTAGACAATCGTCCGGAACCTCCTTTCCAGCACCCTGAAATAGGCTTTCCCCCAGGAGGCTGAGCAGTGACATTGAAGAGTGGTGTCAACCAAGCCAGATACAATGTCCAGAGCCTTCTGCATCTCAGGGCAAATGTCATCTACTCTAGCCACCTTGCTGCTGAGGAGCTTCTTGATTACCTTAGTGAACTCTGCCATAGATATGTGCAAGGCTTTCCCTTGATCTCCAGACTCTGTCTCCTCCTGGGAAGACATTTTAGTTGGGTTTAGGAGTTCCTTAAAGTGCTCCTTCCACTGGCAGTGGTTGGCAGTTGTCCTACCTGGTGAATACAGCCTGGACTAAGCCCTGCTTCCACTTCCTGACCACCACCTTCAGCATTCACTGGGGTGGTTTGCAGCCAAGTGTGGAACAGTTTGGATGAGGGTATGCACCTCCAAGTCTGAGGCCATGGTTCTCCACCCAAAAACAGTGGATTGTTCTCTTCAGGTTGGGATGGAGGTTTGGCCCCAAGAGAAGGAGTTTAAGTATCTTGGGGTCTTGTTCACGAGTGAGAGTAGGATGGAGTGGGAAATTGACAAGTGGATCGGTGTGGCATCAGCAGTAAAATGGGCATTGTACCGGACCGTTGTGATGAAGAGGGAGCTGAACTGGAAGGTGGTCAGGAGCATTGGGTAGTGATCGTGCATGCATGCGGCTGAAATGAGTTTCCTCTGCAGGGTGGCTGGCGTCAGCCTTAAAGATAGGGTATGGAGTGCAAACATCTGGAGGGAGCTTGGAGTAGACCAGCTGCTCCTTTGCGTCGTAAGGAGGTAGTTGAGTCATCTGGTCAGGATGCGTCCTGGGTGCTTTCTATTGGAAGTCTTCCAGACATGTCCAACTGGTAGGAGGCCTTGGGGTAGACCCAGAATGCAGTGGAGAGATTATACATCACATCTGGCCCCCAGGAGGAGCTGGAATGTTGCAGGGGTGAGGAACATCTGGATTACTTTGATTGACCTGCTGCCATGGCAACGCGACCTTGGATAAGATGAAGAAACTGGATGGATGGATGAATGGGTTGATGTATGGATGGATAGATCATTTATTTTTTTGTACTGAACTAGGCTAAATATCTTCTGAACCTAAGTCTGCACAGAGATTGAACTAATCTAACCCAGGGTCAGAGGGCAGAAAAATATATTCACAGCTACTTTAACATGCAGAGATTTGTACATGTTTTTTCATTTAATGTACTCCTTGGAGACCACCTACACATTTCCTTTTCATGTTCAACAAATGTTTATGTTGTGAGACAAAAAACTTACACTCATCATTGTTAAACACAGCCCTGTATATGTTCTATCACGCAACGTTTGAGGGAGTTTTTTGTTGTTTGCCTGGCACTCCCTCTGTCTTCTCCTGTAGGAGTGAAGCACCTGATTGATTTAGTTTCTTATTTTATTTTCTGGGTTGGAGATCACCAGATCCTGACTAGTCTCCCAGTTCCTGCCCTGCTGAAAAACATCCCCACAGCATTGATGCTACACCACCACCATGCTTCACCGTAGGGATGGTATTAGCCAGGTTATGAGAGGTGCCTGGTTTCCTCCAGACGTGACGTTTGACATTCAGGCCAAAGAGTTCAATCTTGGTTCATCAGACCAGAGAACCTTATGGCAAATTCATACGGCTGTCATGTGCCTTTTACTGAGTAGAGGCTTCAGTCTGGCCACTCTATCATAAAGCTTGATTGGTGGAGTGCTGCAGAGATGGTTGTCCTTCTGGAAGGTTCTCCCATCTCCACAGAGGAACGCTGGAGCTCTGTTAGAGTGTCCATCGGGTTTTGGTTCACCTCCCTGACAAGGCCCTTCACCCCCATTTTCTCAGTTTGGCTGGGCGGCCAGCTCTAGGAAGAGTCCTGGTGGTTCCAAACTTCTTCCATTTACCAAATGATGGAGACCACTTGTGCTCACAGGGACCTTTCAATGCTGCAGAAATTTTTTGTTACCCTTCCCCAGATCTGTGCCTCGATACAATCCTGTCTCAGAGGCTTACAGACATTCCTTTGACTTCATAGCCTTGGTTTCTGCTCTGAAATGCCACTGCCAACAGTGGGGCCTTATATAGACAGGTGTGTGCCTTTCCAAATCATGTCCAATCAATTGAATTTACTACAGGTGGACTCCAATCAAGTTGTAGAAACATCTCCAAGGATGATCAAATGGAAACAGTGATGCACCTGAGCTCACTTTTGAGTGTCATAGCAAAGGGAGTGGAATACTTATGTACATGCGATATTTCAGTTTTTTATTCTTAATAAATTTACAAGAATTTCTAAAAAAACCTTTTCGCTTTGTCATTATGGTATTGTGTTGTAGATTGATGAGAAAAAAAGGAATTTAATCCATTTTGGAATAAGGCTGTAAACATAAACAAAATGTGGGGAAAGTGAAGGTGTGGAATACTTTCCGGTATTGCACTGTTGAATCTCTGTCCCAGGATTGAACTAACAACCTCAAAACATTCTAGAGAGTCATCAAACTACAATGAGCTCTTGACAAAGACATTGTAAACTTAATTTCTTATAACGTTTCAGTCTTTTGCTCTGGACATAAACCTGACTATTTGACAGGTTTATCTTTTTGTGAAACACTGAGATCCTAGGGACCATTTTCATTGACTGTCTTGTCTTTTCTCAGACCTTTCAAACAAAACTGTGGCATTACTTCCTAAGTATTTCATTGTCCTCAGATTCAGAGGAAGACCACACACTGCACTGTGATGCTTTTATTATGAAATGACAAGATAATGGATTCAACATCTTAAAAAAAAGTAGTCAACAGGAGAGTCAAAACAAAACATTCAGTCAAATCATTTTTATCCTGTAATAATTGTAGCTTCTGTCTTTGAAGGACTGGAGAGGAATAGATTTACAATGAAGAGGAGTTTAAAAATAACTGACTTAATAACATTAATCTGAAAATGTGTGTGGGTGAAAGAGACAGACATGTACAGACTGAACTACCTGTTCAACAATGACAAAGTTTCTCTAACAGAAGAAGACTCTATGCTACACTCGAACACAGAGACACTGAGGAACCAGACCACCAGAAACCTAACACCAGGATACAGAGGTTCAGTGAATTGTGTTGAGGGTGTGGAGGTGGATCAGTGTGTCAGAGAGGACTCTGTAGAAGGACAGAGTGCCAGCAGGAAAGTCCAAATACACTGCTACTCTGTTAGAGATGGAGGGGCAGGAAGAGGAGGAAGGGGAATAGGAGGAGATGGATCTTTGTGTGTTATTGTGCCAGTAAAAGTAACCACCATCAGAGCATCTCAGACTCCATGACTTATCACTCATTCCAAACACCACAGTCTTTACTGTTTCCTTTCCTGCTAAATTCCTCTGTAGCTCAATGATATATGAACCAATCCTTTCCACTCAACCTCCCAGTAACACGGCCAGTCAGACCAGTTCTACACAGCAGCTGAGCGCCACCGGTCAAATCTGTCTGGATGATCAGGGTATGACTGCTCCTCCTCCAGCCATGTCACTGACCTGTTGTTGTCAGACAGTTTGAGGTTTGTGTTCACTGTGTTTGTGTCGAGTGTGAGTTCACAGGAATCTGATGGAGAGAACAACACAGCTGAAGTTATTTAATCTATCATTGCTTTCATTTATTGACAGAGTTGATGATGACCCATGATGTCAGTGACTGAATGAGTGATGTGATAGTTAAAAATGGTTGAATGTGCTGCTTTGTCTTCATGAATCATATTAAAAACACACTTACACTTCCTCAGACCTGGTCTCAACCATCGGATTCCAGCAGGCTCCACCCTGAAAGAAAGGGTACAACCATAAGCTCATTTTGACAAACACACTTAAATCTCAAATCTCAGAACTCAAAAGTCCTGTGCTGCGGATGTCAGGTTCAAACACAGTTTAACTAATTATTATACTAGACCATATAGACAAGACAGACAATTAGACAATCGTCCGGAACCTCCTTTCCAGCACCCTGAAATAGGCTTTCCCCCAGGAGGCTGAGCAGTGACATTGAAGAGTGGTGTCAACCAAGCCAGATACAATGTCCAGAGCCTTCTGCATCTCAGGGCAAATGTCATCTACTCTAGCCACCTTGCTGCTGAGGAGCTTCTTGATTACCTTAGTGAACTCTGCCATAGATATGTGCAAGGCTTTCCCTTGATCTCCAGACTCTGTCTCCTCCCGGGAAGACATTTTAGTTGGGTTTAGGAGTTCCTTAAAGTGCTCCTTCCACTGGCAGCGGTTGGCAGTTGTCCTACCTGGTAATACAGCCGGAACTAAGCCCTGCTTCCACTTCCTTACCACCACCTTCAGCATTCACTGGGGTGGTTTGCAGCCAAGTGTGGAACAGTTTGGATGAGGGTATGCACCTCCAAGTCTGAGGCCATGGTTCTCCACCCGAAAACAGTGGATTGTTCTCTTCAGGTTGGGATGGAGGTTTGGCCCAAGAGGAGTTTTAAGTATCTTGGGGTCTTGTTCACGAGTGAGGGTAGGATGGAGTGGGAAATTGACAAGTGGATCGGTGTGGCATCAGCAGTAAAATGGGCATTGTACCGGACCGTTGTGATGAAGAGGGAGCTGAACTGGAAAGGTGGTCAGGAGCATTGGGTAGTGATCGTGCATGCATGCGGCTGAAATGAGTTTCCTCTGCAGGGTGGCTGGCGTCAGCCTTA